TGTAAAATCTACCCATCCATCCATCCATTCATTCATTTTTTTTTCACTGGTTGGTTCACCCCCCCCCCCCCCCACCACCACCACTGTAGAAACCTACAAGCAGGCCATTGAAGATTTTGAAACAGCTTACAAACTCCTCTCAGACAACCTCGTGTCCCAAGATGACAGACGATTGGCCGTGATAAAATATCATTTGGGCCTTACCTACATATCTACCGGTGATTTTAAACTATCGATAAAAAATTTCGAAGAGGCCCTGGGCATCTGCCAAGTGTTGATGAAGAATCTTGCCAACAAACTGAAAGACCTTAATTATGATACATCCATCATTGAGAGTGAGGGTGGTGAAGGGGTAACTGTCGATGAAAAGCAAACTGAGGATCCAAACGTTAAAGATTTGCTCGAGGAGTTCAAACAGATTAGAAGTTTGATTCCTGATCTGAAAGTTAAGGTAGGAGGCATCAAAGTACTTGTTTGCCTGCTTGCATTTTCATTTCGTCATCGCGTTCATCCCCTATGTGTGTCTTCATTTTGTTTCATCTTGGCAACATCATCATCACCACCAGATTGAAGAAACCATCGAAGAGGAAAAAAATGTGACTGGATTGAAAGATGCTCTCTACAAATCCGTAAGCAAAGATGCAGCAGCAGCTGTTGCTACAACTGCTGCTGATACAGCTGCTGTTGAAACCGAGACTATAGGATTTCCTGAGGCTAATAATAGAGCCGGTGATGTGGTTGGTTGGACCATGTTGTCTTTATTGCTGCTACTGTCCGCTTTTTATTATTTCTGCCTTTGGTTTTGTTCTTAATTTATCGTTTCCATCATTTTGTTTTTGATGGTGAATTAAATTGATTGAATATGTTATCTTGATTATTCCCACCACCATCATCATTATCATACAGGCTGTCGCTGACGACATCACACATTTGATCAGGAAGAAGGTTTCCGTTCGTTTATTTTCCATTTCTTAATTAATTGAATTAATTTGATTGATTAATTTATTTAATAAGGTCACTCAGTTAATTTATTGGACGATTGATTTAAATATTCACAAAGCGCAAGCAGCAGGATCTTGAAAACTCGGGAGAGGTCCAAGGAGAAGAAGCTGACAAGAGCAAAAAATTAAAAGTGGAAACAAACGACAGCACGCCCAACCCTGATGACGTCATTGCAGGAAATGATGACAAAGAGAACGATACGAAGATAATGAATAAGATGGAAGAAGAGATGGATTTGGAGGTTGATTGATTGATTGATTTATTGATTTATTGATTGATTTATTGATTTATTGATTGATTGATTGGAAGAAATAGATGATTAGTTGATTGATTGATTGAATAATCAGTTTAATTTGTATAAATTAAAAAAACGTTCGTTCATTTTACCATAGTTGAAACAACAAAATACTCAAAAAACTATCAGCTCACGTTAATAAACTTCAATAAATTCAATCGCGCTATCGTTCAGATCAATCGGTTAACACAATCACTTTTGAACTTTAACCTTTTACAGAAAGATCCAAAATATGTGGAAAGCAGCGAGGATTCGGCAGCTGTTGCTACATTGCTTGCTGCTGACAGCAATGAAATTGCTGGATAAATGACTGATAGAGTGAATGAGTGTGAATGATTGATTGATTGATGGGTGGGAGTATTTGTTGAATGAATGAACGAATGAATTATTGGTTGACTGGTTTTATATGCATAATTGATTAACTAAAATGACCTACTTAATTGGGAATACGATCAGCTTTCTTAATTATCATAATTGAATGATCAGATGATTGGCTGATGTTTGCAAGACCTTATATGCACGTATAAACTAATGTATATATATATATAACTGGACAGTTTCCTTGTTCCTCGAATGAGAAACAAGGAATTTTTTAACTGTTGGTTTAGTGAATACTCAATAATAAAGCCCGTGAAAAACAGTTTGATATGGCGCGGCCTACCGATGCGATAGTTTTTTTAGATTTATTTGTTGTTTTTTCAAAAAACAATCTCTAATTATAATTAATTAATTCTAATTAAAGTTATAATAATTAATTAATTTTAAATGTAACAAGAAGAGCGCGGCTGTGATGAATGAATTTTAATTTGATGATACCAGGGGGAGGCCTATTTACCAGCATACAACACCTTATGGGTTGAAGCAGGGATATGCAAAGAAACCTCAATTTTTTCAACTTAATTATTTTCAGTAATGTCTCCCCTTGCTCCAAACCAAATAACTAGAATAATAGGACTAATCGATCAGTTCGATCTATCGGTCGGGCTATTTGTCGGGCTTGGATTGTTGGCTTACGAAATTGCATGGATTTTAACGAGCAAGCTAAATGAAATATTTACTTGATTTAATATGCTTAAAACATTGTAGTAATTCTATTTAATTTTAATAATGATTAATAGAATTATGTATTATTAAACTGTTTTTGTTAATTTGAGTATAAAAATTGCTTTTGGTCCGGTGAAATCCGGTGGCTTACTGAAGCCGAAGGTTGGCTTAGTAGGATTGAACTATAGTCACCCTTTTTTTTTACACTATTCGATCATGTTAAAAATTGGTTTTCTTATGAAATAAACGGCCTAAATAAATCAAAATTGTTATTTGAACAACTATCTTTATTATATTCAATGAACACTTTACACTCTGCTGGTGCTCATAAGAAACTGGCTGCTGAAATCATATGTTGGCTTACAGCAGTGGCTTACAGGGTTTAATAGAACTCTTACGATAGCACTTTTTTGTGCATATAATGTATTAAATAAATCAATATATTCATATCACAATTGTTTTTGTCAGTATAAATATAGAAATTGCTTTTGTCAGGTGAAAAACAGTGGCTTACTGAAGCCGTAGGTTGGCTTAATCGGATTTTTTCTCATGTATACAATACTATGAGATAAATCAAACAATCAGTCAGCCAGCCAGTCTGTCAGTCAATCAATCAACCAACCGATCAATCAACCGATCAATCAATCAACTAAATTGAATGAACCGAATAAACAAAAATAAAAACAGAAATAAATAAAAAAAATTTGCGAGGCCTGTTCAAACTCGAACAAACAGTTAACCGTACAGATCAACAAACAATTTAGAGATTTTAGTAAAGAAAAAAAAACACAGTAGTTGCTTTTATTTGAATTCATTCAAAAATAAAAAGTGACAGTTAATTAAAATTTTAAAATGTCAATTTTGTTTTTAAATTCGTATTTTAAATAAACAAATATAACAAAATATCGACCGATAAAAATAATTATTATCCATTATTATTATTATCATACACACTCCTTAGAAGTTAATAAACCACGTAACATGAACATTTAGTAAGAACAGTTCACAACATATCATAATGACTAAATCAACATACTAAGCAGAAATAATTTATACATGCATATATACAAAGTAAATCAAGAAATATCGAAAAATTATATAACCAATTTAAAAAAAACTAGAAACCAGTCAACATTTAATGAATAAATAAATAGACATTATTAAAAAGATTGTTCAAAAAGGTACAATTTAAGGCGACGACGAGAATGAAATGTTGTTTGTTTTGTTGGTGTGGTGTTGTGAAGCGAAAACAAACACATTACAAAAAACTAGTAAGAAGTCGCAAGAATAATAGTCAGTCACCTACCTATAATAAAATTACTCTCAGGGCCCTAGCTTACTTATAAACATTGACTCAACTCACTTACCTACAAATTTGTATTTCTCGTTTTAGATGTTTCAAGTATTTTATTTAACATATTTTAGCGTTTTTATTTTACTTGAAGCTTTTTAACTAATGTTAAGCCCTAGCCTACCTACAATTGTTTAACTCATCTTAGTCCCTAACTTACCTATGAATTAAATTAAAGTCCGGTTCCCGGTAAAGAAAATATAAGTTAAAGAGAAACATAACAGAAACGACACCGAATGAATGGATGTTGTGTATGTATGTGTTGTATTGATGTGTGTGTATGTAAATGTGCGGGCGCGCACTCTCCAGAAACTTCACTCACTACCGACGAACTTCGATTGCACCGACCATCATCTGACACGCATCGATGGAATGAATTTGACCAGATACTGAAAAATAAATTGAAAAAAAACATTAATTCACTAAAATAAAAAACAAGCAATTGGAAAAAATAGGCAACTTATCTTTTTGAGATAACACTCAATCTTTGTTCAAATTCGAGTACTTTCAAAGGTACAATGAGACAAAAACAAATTTACCTTTAACATTATCTTCGAATTGTAATCGGAACGATCATCATGAGACCTCCATCTGAAACGTGCTGATGCCCACCACAGCCCACCTCTCATCATTCTGTAGACATTTTTTTAATAGCGTATTAGTAAATCAAGGAACAAAGGAACGATCGAATAAATGATTAACTGAATGATTGAATAATTGGTTGAATGAATGAGTGAATGAATGAATGAATTAATTAATTAATCAATAATTCAATTAATGAATAGAACGAATTAACAAATCAATTAATAGAAGAATAATTTAAAAGGTTGAGTGATAAAATGAACGAATGAGAAAAATAAAAAACGAAACTAAACCTTACTTCAAAAATCGTCGTTACTGTACTTTCCATTGCACCGACCACCACCATCTGGTCGGCACACAAAATACCATCCGAGCTTCAGAGTGTCAGTCGAACAGCCAACGAGCTGATTCTTCCTACACCACCATCATCATATGTAAATCATCATGAGACCACCATCTAAAACGTGCTGACTCCCACCACTGCCCACCTCTCATCATTCTGTAGACAATTTTTTTTATTTGCGTAGTAGTAAATGAATGTTAGAATTTTAGAAGCAAAAAAACTATAAAATAAAATAATGTCAAATAAATAATATTTTAAAATAATAAAAAAAGTAAAATGTAAAAAAACTTACCGTCGTTCATTCGACAAATGCAGAATGTTGAATGCGGTTCGGTTCCTACGTTGTCTTCCAAAACAGCCCGTGTTGAGGAAGAAAAATAAAGGAAAGATTCTCATCAGAAAGCTTAGCGGTGCCTGCATCTCAAATTGCTTAAAAAAAATAATCCTATCTACCTATTCAATTACCTTAACTAATCTATATTAAATTATTAATGGTACGATAGTCGAAAGTCCCCCTTCATTCTCCCTCCTTGCACAGAGGTTCACCGATAGCCAGGGCACCGGATAGTAAACCATTGCCGTGCGGATAGTAGACTATTGCCGTGCGGATAGTAAACCATTTGCCGTCCGGAAGCCGTGCGGGTAGTAGACTATGGCCATGCCGCATGGTAAATCATTACCGTGCAGATAGTAAACCATTG